CACATATATACACACACACACACACACACATTTGAAGTGGATCAAAAAAGTTTTCATCAACGTCTAAGACAAGAACCAATTTTGGTTTTAGGTTTTAGGACAACTTTGATGAAAGGTTTTGATCCACTTCAAATGTTGACTACTGTATACACACTGTAAAATTTTCGGCCAAATGTATATATATATATATTTATATATATTTGCATATATATATATATTTATATTTGCATATCATATATATATTTGCATATCATAGCTCTTTTGTTGATTTTCATTACTTCCATTGTTCTCATTTGTAAGTCGCTTTGGATAAAAGCGTCTGTTAAATGTCTAAATGTAAATATATGCAGTTATATGTAGTTTGTATTATTTATGCAATTGCAATCAAACATATTAAACCCCTCAGAGATTATAATTTACAAATGTAAGTTTTTTGAATTAAATAAGGCCATCCATGACATTTTAGTGGCATATTAAAAGTGATAATGTCAGTATATAATTTAATATTTCTGAGTAATATGCATTTTTTGTAATACATGTATGTCATAATTATTCAACCCCTATTCAACATTGCTGTTTTAAGTCACTTATTCCTCTGTGTGCGTGTAAATATTTCAGCTTAATATTTTTGTGGAAACAATTATCTGTTTTTTTAAATATTTTTCAGGATGCATGATTTCAGGATATATCGATATAAACTGCTTTATTTGTCTAAATTGCATTATAATTTTAGATTTAAAGATAAATCCTTACCTGAGTTTGAAGTCCACACTCTTTCATTAATTCTGGGTTCTTCTCGCTCTCACCTTGGACAGAAACGAGAAGGTTGCTCTCCCAGCAAGCTCCGCTCCTCCTCAGTTTTATCCTAACTTTAAGCTGGTCCAATTTGGCCTCCTTTTGTTCAGCAGTAGCACTGTTATCTGCCTCTAAAAGTTTCTGGAAGTTTTTGCCTGAAACATTCATTTGCTGGCGAGTTAATTTTTGTAATTGGCTTTCTCTCTTTGCCATTTTCCACCTCTTCTTAGCCTTTGTTTTATGATGATTTATTACAGATGCTTCTGTCATGACAGCGAGGGAAGGAACAGTGGCATTACTGGTCCGATTAAAACCTGCAGTTGGACTAGCTTCATCAAGTAATGACAATGATGACAAATCAGCTTCCAATAAGCCACAGACTTGCACTGGAAGAGTACTGCTCTGTATCCTTAATGGCTCAGAAACGATTTCACTTTCCTGGCTATTCACATCTTCTGTCTGTACACCAATCTCTCTCCAACGTCTCACAGCATCCTCAACTCCTCTTTCCACGCACACCCTCTTCTTTTCAAAAAGGTTTTTAAGTCCAAGTCTGAAGGCAGCAGCCATTACCTCCTCATGTTCGCTCTGACTCTTGATCTCCATTTCCCCTGTGTACAGGAACTTAACTAGCTTTAGTAAGGCATGAGATCCTACAGCCTCAAGGCTCAGAAGCCTGTTCTGCCCTGCCTGTGGAGCAGGGGAAGTGGAAAGGACTCTTGACAGGACAGGGCTTAGAGCAGCTAACACACAACTATGAGCTGGAACACAGACACCTGAAGAGTTGAAAAGATTTTTTTTCACATCTTCTGTCTGTACACCAATCTCTCTCCAACGTCTCACAGCATCCTCAACTCCTCTTTCCACGCACACCCTCTTCTTTTCAAAAAGGTTTTTAAGTCCAAGTCTGAAGGCAGCAGCCATTACCTCCTCATGTTCGCTCTGACTCTTGATCTCCATTTCCCCTGTGTACAGGAACTTAACTAGCTTTAGTAAGGCATGAGATCCTACAGCCTCAAGGCTCAGAAGCCTGTTCTGCCCTGCCTGTGGAGCAGGGGAAGTGGAAAGGACTCTTGACAGGACAGGGCTTAGAGCAGCTAACACACAACTGTGAGCTGGAACACAGACACCTGAAGAGTTGAAAATATATATTTTTTTAAAGGAAAGAAAAGCATAGGAAAAAATGTCAAGTACAACATTACAGGCAACAGAAGTCTATAGATTCTTAGAAAAAAAGCGCAAAATATTATTGTGTAAAATAACTGTTCAGACACCAACTGATTCATTCCCCTAACAAATGGCTCTTTTTTTCAATTCTTAAAATGTCAAATTTGAAACGTTTTTAAATTACAAAAATGGCAGAGCAAACAAACTGCCAAAAAAAAGAAGAAAAACACACACAAATCAAATCAAATAAATCGAAATATTATTGGAACTTTTATTAATGTTGCATCAGGAGCATTCAAACACTACTAGAAAATTACTTTGTTTATTAAAAAAAATAAAAAATAATAAAATCAATGGTGTGATGAATGAACTGCTTTAGAGTGGGGGAAAAAACAAGTTTAGTCTAGAAAATTCATTTAAAACATTATACATTTTTCATTAAGTTATGTCTATGGCCACTGACTGCTAATTTATGTCTATGGCACAATTTGGAAATCATAGCAATGACATAATCAGGGTCTTTATATGATTTGTTTACAAGGTGCTAGTTATAAAGTCGACAGCTCTTTCCAATGACACAGACCCAGAGCTGGCTATCTCCACCACAGAAGATCTCTGATCTCTTACCGTCTGTCTGCAGAAGTGTGTCACAGAAGATGCTTCCCTGCTGCTGCTTCTGAAGTTCACCAAGTAGGAATATTGCAAAGTCAGGATGCCGATACTGCCACATGCTGGTAGCAACTTCAGACTAAAACGCATTTAGAAACTTCAAAACAAAAGTTAAAACGGTTAACCATCCAGAAATAACAGCTTTCTTCAATTTTGCAAGATAAGATTTACTTTGTGTTATCAATTCCAGATCCAACTGCTGATATGAACAGTTTTTTATTTTATTTTTTTTAGATAAACTGAGGTAAATATTTAGAGAAGACAGAGTGATCTCAGTTCAACGTCTTCCTGTTGTTTGGTATTAAATGGCAAAGAAAGGCTAGCTCAGCCATACTCTCAATCTCTAAGGTCAACTGAGCCTGATGTCGCGAGGATTCATCTGTTATTAAGACTGCAAAGCAGTCTTGTTTTCAAACGCTAAGTGCACGTTGTTCATCAAACTTGCTAAGACGACACCACATTATAATCCAATATTGACACATATAATTTTAAATACGCAAACACAGGTGATCTGTAGGACACGTGAGCCGCTGCATCACAAACCATCTCAAGTCAAGCGACTCTAGCTCCACTCATCTTCTAGAAGAGAGATGTTCAGTCACGCGAATCTTTTGAATCGGTTCACCAAAAAGATTCGTTCACTGATTTGTTCAGAGGCCACACTGCCTGCACCGTTACGCCAGTAGATGGCGCTATGGGTGAGCATCTTGAAAGAGTCTGTTGACTGATTCATTCAAACGATTCGTTTAAAACCCCAGCAGTTTCACGATTTTGTTCTTGTGTACTTGTGCAACTGAAATCTGACGAAGATTAATAAAATAAGACATTTCCAAAGTAAAAAATAAGACTATCTGACATTTCCACAACTGCATTTATTGGTTTAAAAGCTCTCTTTAATGTGGTCTCATTAAAATCAGTGAAGTTAGGTTTGTATCCGTGGTTCTGAGCAGGGGGCTCACTATGGCTTAAAATAAGCGTCATTACCAGCTACAGTTACTAAAAACCAACATAATTTAGCTTCATTTTAAATTCACCTCCTTCCAAGCTGTTTTTTCCTCTTCTCTTTCGGTCTTGAAAATATCCCTGGACATATGAGGTAGCCTAATTTTAAGAAACGTGATGTCTGGGCTATAGAAAGGTCCTGTAGCCCAATTAATAAAATCTTAAAAGTCTGGGCATTTTTATAACAAAATTGTCTAGTTATGCCAAGCAAACTAAAATATTAGGTAGAAATTATGAGATAAATAACTTAAACTCATGTAAATGCTTTGGAAAAAAGGGATGGGAACATTGCCGTGTATTCAACAAAAAGGTTGTAACCCACTGGTTCAGTTACTTTCAAGTAATTTAAGATGACAACTAGCATGTTAAGTTCACACGGTCTTGACTAGTTTGTAAAAAGATTTTTTTTAGAGAACAACTCTCATGAAGTTGAATCAATTGAATAATAATACCATGTGCATCAAACATATTTCCCAGTAAGCAGCTAGGTTGTATATGGTCAAATATATTACATCTCTCAATTACACTGATATTCTAAAAATGAAGAATTCTAATCAAATGAATGTATTAAATGTGTTAAAACACTCTTTGAACCACACAAAAATTCACTGTCAGAACCTTTGGAAAAAAAATCACTTTTATTTAAAAAAAAACAAACAAAAAACAAACAAACAAACAAAAAAAAACAGTATTGCTACGTTACATGTTCAATCCATGAGAGAAAGGTGCAACGTTTAAGACCAAAGGTAAAGTGTTGAAATATAGGAATTATGAATCAAGATCCACATGTTAGTGTTGCAGAAACATATCAACTGACAGCACATGACGCAAAGAATTTTTCCTTTCGTCTTTAATTAAAAGGTATAAACCGTAAATGCATTTATTTAAAAAATAAAACTGATTGCATATGCATTCACCCACAACACCCCAGAAAAACAAAATCAGCCCCAATCATAAAATATAGAAAAGAAAGAGCAACAGAACAAAAACCAAGAAGAAATTTTTTTTTTAAAATTAACAAATATTCTCTGGTATATATAGTTAAATGTGCTTTTATTTTATCTCTCTTATTTTCTTATCAAGCTAGAATCAAAATCTGGCTAAATCCTGCCTGAAAGAGATGCAATTTTCTTGTAATTAAAAGATTAATTTATCTGCCTCCCTCAACACTGAACAATCGATTGATTCCTCGAACTCGTGAACAGCCTCCTTTATCAGGACTCGGACTTCTGGCTCACATCCATTTAGTCAACAGCCGACCTTTACTTTACTGACTGTAGCGTCTCCAAGGATTGGACTGCAGATTGGCAGACAGGGAATTAAAAAGGCATTGGGGGGGGGGGATTCTTAAAAAAAAACAAAAAAACATCCATTACCCCTAGTGCTAAAGTTTCCATTCAGTAAATATCTACAACAGACTTACTGTGCATTTTTAATTATGCAGTCTAAGAAACGAGCACTGTACTTATGGATCTCAGAAAAAAAAAAAAAATGCATATACATCCTCAAATGTACACTCGTTCACTCTCTACACAGACAGGCACTGAAACCAAGAGGCAGAAGGGTGGCCAAACATCCCTGTTCACCGCTCATCACAAACACACTCAAACGTCGCGCTGAGCAAGCGAGGCACTCCAAGTATGCAGAGTGGATTTGTGAGACACGGTCATATTTACACATTCATTTATATTCAGACAGATCGAAGTCCAGGGCTACAATTTGTCTCAGAGTTAAAGGCTTTTTTTTATCTTCTCTTTTGTGGCTATTTAATTGTACTTATTATAAATGAAGAGTGAGGAACTGTTGAGTTCCCACACAGAAGCTAATCGTTGTCAGTGACAATTTTAAAAGACAAAACAAAGGGGGAAAAACATAATCCCAAACCAGCTTTGCAAATTTGACAACTGAATGAATAAAACTATACTCACCTACCACTAGAGAACTTTCTTGAATGCTACTGGTTTACAAAATAAAAACAAAAATCTCCCAATCAAATATCCCTCTGCCTCTTTTGTAATGCTTCATCCACGCGGTCACAACAACCACTTCCTAGAGACCGAACACTCCACGAGACCATCCACAAAAACCACAGATGGATAACTTAAGGGGAATTGGTGATCGTCTAGTGCTTTCAGAAAACGACAAAAAATAGGCCTCATGCCTGTGGCAATGCATCAACGAGACACAAAACTTACCGAAAAATTCTATATACATTTTCTGCAGGCCGCATATGACTGATGCAATTTGGCTTTACCTTTTTATCACTGTGAACCACAAAGCAGGATGAAGCAAAATAATCAAAACACCGACGCCATACTATACTAGTGTTCTAATAGATGCATAAGCAAAAAACAAAAACAAAATAATAAGGAAATGATTTATAAAGCTCAATAAGCTGGGGATGTGACTAAATAGAGCTTGTAGTCCCTAGTGTTTCCATTATTTGACATAAAAAGAGTCCGTTTGAAGTAGTGGCTGTTCTCAATCACATGAGAGTGACAACATGAGAATGTTGAAAACTACAGAAGGGTCTTTGCAATTAGTGGCAATGGTCCCGTAAGTGATGAGATCAGAGGCTCAGCAGGGACAGTAGGCAGGAGGAGGAAACTCACGGCGGGTGATGCACACGATCAGTTTTTCTGTGGACAGAAACAGGATGAGACGTGAAGGTCAGACGTGGTACTCGCTTATATTAGGTTTACTAATAACAAAGGGAAATGATTCAGTAATGTGTCATCAAAGAGCTGCGATGAGAATTTGTGCGCATCACACCATTCACATCACCCGTTTTATGTGGCAAAGTGATGACTGATACAAACACTGAAACATCAGTCATGTGACCAAAGTGGACACATGAGAGGAAGAGATCAGTGTTGGGGAGTAACTGACTGAAAAGCAGCAACCCTACTAATGGAAAGCGACATTGGCTGAGCTGTTTTCTGAACAGAAACATTACATTTAAATGTAATGTATTTTCAGTAATTTGTTTGACTAGTTGTTCACTGTAAATGTGTTTAAATTTAAAGCGGTCATCCCATTAGATATCCTTGTTTTTGCACCAGATTAATTAGAGCGCTAATGAAAAATCGAATATAAGAATACATTAAAAAAGAAAATAAATTCAGTGAAATAGACTATTCAGGCATTAATATTTTTACTTTAGTTGTTCACTGTAAAGTCGTTTCATTAAAGCAGATTAAATTGCACAAAAAGCTGATCAATTGTAAAAAATTAAATATTAAATTTTTGTTTTTAAATCTTTAGTCTTTAAATATTACATTTAAAGTTTGAATTTAAAGCTGTCATCCTATTTGACATCCTTGTTTTTGCACCAGATAAATATGGCTCTAATTGAAAAATGTAAAAAGAAAACTTAAAAAAAGACATTTCAAATTGAGTCCATTTTACCTCGACTTTAGTTGTTAAATATTTCACTGCAGAAAGGCAGTGAAGGCAAAAAAATAAATTTATATTAGTGCGGTCAAAAGATTAAATCACATCCAAAATAAAAGTTTGTTTACATAATGTGTGTACCGTGTATATTATATATATATATATATATAAATAAATAAATAAATGCACACATATACAGTCAATATTTTGAAAATATTTACATGTATTTACATGCATATATATATACACACTTAAAAAAATAAAATTGTTTTCTTAAATATATACATGCATGTGTGTGTGTGTATTTATTTATATACATAAACATACACAGTACACACACATATTATGTAAACAAAAACTTATATTTTGGATGCAATTAATCGCGATTAATCTTTTGACAGCACTAATTTATATACATACACTCACACATTTCTTGAAATGTAAACTGACTTTCATTTGTTTATTGTGTGCAACTTAAACCCGTCTTCTTATTTGAGATCATTATTTTTGTATGAAACAAATATGGCCCCAGTTGTAAAAATACATTATGATAAATAAATTCATCATTTTACTAAGCAGCTTGTATACCTAACTGCACTTCAGTAGTTGTAGCTTAATTCAACTACTGTGAAACTATAGCTTTCCAACTACAAGCTACACCAAATTTAAAGAAGCTTCCCCAACACTGGACGAGATAGTTAGTAAAAACCATTTCCACTCAAGTATAGAATAACAAAATACAGTTAATGAGGGTTAGAACCACAAATAACACTGAGCAGCACGCATACACTTAAATATCCACATGAAGGCCATGCAGAAGGTGGACACACATACCATGCGTGCTCATGCACTGAGTGGGGGGGAGGGGGAGTGGCCTAACCATCATAAGAGTCCAAGAGAGGCAAAGAGCCCCGCCTCTCCCCATACCCCTCCCCAGACATAGCTCGCTGAGAGAGAGAGAGAGAGAGAGAGAGAGAGAGAGAGAGAGAGAGAGAGAGAGAGATTGACAGAGGATAAAAGAAAGGGAAAGGCATTGAAGAAGAGGTGAGTGATAATAGAAGGAGAGGGGCGTGTGAGAGAGTTAGTGGAGGTGAGACCCCTCTTAGTATTATTAGTGAAATCACAGTAGGTTAATAACAAGTTTCAGCTTGTGTAGTGTGTGGGTTTTGGGATGTCTGGTGTGCTGAATTGCTTGTGAGGGAAATTCATTTATCTGCCTCCAACATCGAACAATCGATCGATTCCTCGAACTTGTGAACAGCCTCCTGCATCAGGACTCGGACTTCTGGCTCACATCCATTTAGTCAACAGCCAACCTTTCCTTTACGAACTGTAGTGTCGCGAAGGATTAGATTGTGGATTGGCAGACGGAATTAAAAAGGCATTGGGGGAAAAAAATTAATCTTAAAAATAATAAATCCATTGACCCCTAGTGCTAGTTTCCATTCAGTAAATATCTACAACAGACTTACTGTGCATTTTTAATTATGCAGTCTAAGAAACGAGCACTGTACTTATGGATCTCAGAAAAAAAAAAAAAATGCATATACATCCTCAAATGTACACTCGTTCACTCTCTACACAGACAGGCACTGAAACCAAGAGGCAGAAGGGTGGCCAAACATCCCTGTTCACCGCTCATCACAAACACACTCAAACGTCGCGCTGAGCAAGCGAGGCACTCCAAGTATGCAGAGTGGATTTGTGAGACACGGTCATATTTACACATTCATTTATATTCAGACAGATCGAAGTCCAGGGCTACAATTTGTCTCAGAGTTAAAGGCTTTTTTTTATCTTCTCTTTTGTGGCTATTTAATTGTACTTATTATAAATGAAGAGTGAGGAACTGTTGAGTTCCCACACAGAAGCTAATCGTTGTCAGTGACAATTTTAAAAGACAAAACAAAGGGGGAAAAACATAATCCCAAACCAGCTTTGCAAATTTGACAACTGAATGAATAAAACTATACTCACCTACCACTAGAGAACTTTCTTGAATGCTACTGGTTTACAAAATAAAAACAAAAATCTCCCAATCAAATATCCCTCTGCCTCTTTTGTAATGCTTCATCCACGCGGTCACAACAACCACTTCCTAGAGACCGAACACTCCACGAGACCATCCACAAAAACCACAGATGGATAACTTAAGGGGAATTGGTGATCGTCTAGTGCTTTCAGAAAACGACAAAAAATAGGCCTCATGCCTGTGGCAATGCATCAACGAGACACAAAACTTACCGAAAAATTCTATATACATTTTCTGCAGGCCGCATATGACTGATGCAATTTGGCTTTACCTTTTTATCACTGTGAACCACAAAGCAGGATGAAGCAAAATAATCAAAACACCGACGCCATACTATACTAGTGTTCTAATAGATGCATAAGCAAAAAACAAAAACAAAATAATAAGGAAATGATTTATAAAGCTCAATAAGCTGGGGATGTGACTAAATAGAGCTTGTAGTCCCTAGTGTTTCCATTATTTGACATAAAAAGAGTCCGTTTGAAGTAGTGGCTGTTCTCAATCACATGAGAGTGACAACATGAGAATGTTGAAAACTACAGAAGGGTCTTTGCAATTAGTGGCAATGGTCCCGTAAGTGATGAGATCAGAGGCTCAGCAGGGACAGTAGGCAGGAGGAGGAAACTCACGGCGGGTGATGCACACGATCAGTTTTTCTGTGGACAGAAACAGGATGAGACGTGAAGGTCAGACGTGGTACTCGCTTATATTAGGTTTACTAATAACAAAGGGAAATGATTCAGTAATGTGTCATCAAAGAGCTGCGATGAGAATTTGTGCGCATCACACCATTCACATCACCCGTTTTATGTGGCAAAGTGATGACTGATACAAACACTGAAACATCAGTCATGTGACCAAAGTGGACACATGAGAGGAAGAGATCAGTGTTGGGGAGTAACTGACTGAAAAGCAGCAACCCTACTAATGGAAAGCGACATTGGCTGAGCTGTTTTCTGAACATTTTTTTTTTTTTAAATGTAATGTATTTTCAGTAATTTGTTTGACTAGTTGTTCACTGTAAATGTGTTTAAATTTAAAGCGGTCATCCCATTAGATATCCTTGTTTTTGCACCAGATTAATTAGAGCGCTAATGAAAAATCGAATATAAGAATACATTAAAAAAGAAAATAAATTCAGTGAAATAGACTATTCAGGCATTAATATTTTTACTTTAGTTGTTCACTGTAAAGTCGTTTCATTAAAGCAGATTAAATTGCACAAAAAGCTGATCAATTGTAAAAAATTAAATATTAAATTTTTGTTTTTAAATCTTTAGTCTTTAAATATTACATTTAAAGTTTGAATTTAAAGCTGTCATCCTATTTGACATCCTTGTTTTTGCACCAGATAAATATGGCTCTAATTGAAAAATGTAAAAAGAAAACTTAAAAAAAGACATTTCAAATTGAGTCCATTTTACCTCGACTTTAGTTGTTAAATATTTCACTGCAGAAAGGCAGTGAAGGCAAAAAAATAAATTTATTTAATTTATATTAGTGCGGTCAAAAGATTAAATCACATCCAAAATAAAAGTTTGTTTACATAATGTGTGTACCGTGTATATTATATATATATATATATATAAATAAATAAATAAATGCACACATATACAGTCAATATTTTGAAAATATTTACATGTATTTACATGCATATATATATATACACTTAAAAAAATAAAATTGTTTTCTTAAATATATACATGCATGTGTATTTATTTATATACATAAACATACACAGTACACACACATATTATGTAAACAAAAACTTATATTTTGGATGCAATTAATCGCGATTAATCTTTTGACAGCACTAATTTATATACATACACTCACACATTTCTTGAAATGTAAACTGACTTTCATTTGTTTATTGTGTGCAACTTAAACCCGTCTTCTTATTTGAGATCATTATTTTTGTATGAAACAAATATGGCCCCAGTTGTAAAAATACATTATGATAAATAAATTCATCATTTTACTAAGCAGCTTGTATACCTAACTGCACTTCAGTAGTTGTAGCTTAATTCAACTACTGTGAAACTATAGCTTTCCAACTACAAGCTACACCAAATTTAAAGAAGCTTCCCCAACACTGGACGAGATAGTTAGTAAAAACCATTTCCACTCAAGTATAGAATAACAAAATACAGTTAATGAGGGTTAGAACCACAAATAACACTGAGCAGCACGCATACACTTAAATATCCACATGAAGGCCATGCAGAAGGTGGACACACATACCATGCGTGCTCATGCACTGAGTGGGGGGGAGGGGGAGTGGCCTAAAGAGTCCAAGAGTCCAAGAGAGGCAAAGAGCCCCGCCTCTCCCCATACATTCCTCCCTGAGAGTCAGAGAGAGAGAGAGAGAGAGAGAGAGACACACAGAGAGAGAGAGAGAGAGATTGACAGAGGATAAAAGAAAGGGAAAGGCATTGAAGAAGAGGTGAGTGATAATAGAAGGAGAGGGGCGTGTGAGAGAGTTAGTGGAGGTGAGACCCCTCTTAGTATTATTAGTGAAATCACAGTAGGTTAATAACAAGTTTCAGCTTGTGTAGTGTGTGGGTTTTGGGATGTCTGGTGTGCTGAATTGCTTGTGAGGGAAGTTTAGTTTGTTGTGTGTAACTGCTCAGGAGTGGATGTTCCCTTGCAGGTGTGTTACCTGAAGTGCCTCTCTGTCAGAGCGATCCAGAGTGTCGTCTAAAGTGTTTCTCCGTCCTCTCTGGTCTAGCGTAGAGTAAGCGTCTGGCACCACAGATAAAAAGCATTTTGAGTTGGAGAAATACTTTTTTTTCCTCCCAAGAAAGTGACACTTGTATTCAGCAAAGATGCTGAATTGATCAAAAGTGATCATTTGTAACACTATAAGCGTGTTTACTATGTCTTTTTCACCACATTGTTAAAATCAGCATTTTAGAATGATTTCTGAAGGATCATGTGACAATGAAGACTGGAGTAATGATGCTGAAAATTCAACTTTGCCATCACAAGAATAAATTACACTTCTAAATAGAAAACAGTCATAGTAATATTGTGAAATATTGTACAATTTAAAGTTATTACTGCATTTTTGATCAAATAAATGCATCTTAAATGCATTAATTGAAAGACATTTAAAAAAAAAAAAAAAAAAAAAAAAAAATTTACCAACCCCAAACTTGATGCACATGATATTTACTATTAACATGTTTTATATACTTTATATGTAACATTTTATAATATATTTAATTTTAAAGTGCAAGCTGAAGTAAAAAGACACAAGTGTTAAAAAAATATGAGAATTGGGAAAACCTAATCCACCACTGGAAAATGTGGCTAAAAGTTCATTTTAGACATTGTGTATATAACCATAAACTGTAAGAATAAAGTATGTGTTTTTTTTACCTGGTCCCATGTCATTAAGAGGAATCATGTCTCTGTCCTGTTTGCCCCCTAACAAAGAGACCCAAACAAAGTCAGATCTCAGAAACACTGAGATGTATCCTGTATGTCCATGCGGCCGATAAACATCCGTTTGTTGTGTTAAACGCACTACAGAGCATTCAGCAGGAATGTGTTGTGTCTTACCCCTGTCTATTAGCGGCAGGGTGCTGTCCTCGTATCCTCCGTTGCTGCGGGTGTTGTTAGGAGGGTTAAGGTTCACCATGAAGTCTGTTTTCTTCCAGCCGTCTTTCTCCAGTGTGCGGCGGAGCTCTTTGAAGCCCCACACGATCTGCAGCACCAGCCCAGCGCCACGCACCTCCCGATCTGAACGGTTGCTAAAAGGGAAAGCGGAGGATTGGCATTTGCAGTTTTGGCATACTTGTTCCTCTTCCAGGTTTCTCCAATGTGACCGGACAGTTATTAAAAACCACTTATACATACCTGTCTTTGTTGATGAGCACCAGTCTCTCGATTCCCTGGGAGCTGCGCAGGGTTTTAGCCGCATCCACGCTGGAGCCGACCACCTCCGTCATAGTGCTGAGAACAGACACCACCGTCTCCTCTGAGAGCGCGCGCGCAGGCTGACTCTGACCCCCGCCTGGCAGATTGGCCACCAAGTTAGGCACTGCATGCTTCCCTACACAGAGAGAGGAAGAGGGTAAAATACACTAGGATTTATTCATTGGGACTGTACAAATATGGCTTTTTGTACACGATTTGATGGGAATAACACTGAATGGACACAAATACGAAGGCCAAACAGGTATTGTTTGTTCACATACCTAGCAGCTCACGGTTGCGAGCGTCAATGGCCAGGTTTCTCAAGGCTCCGGACATGGCTTTGACCACACGGTCGTTCCCATGAGACAACAGCTCGGTCATCATCGGCAGGCCATGCTCCTGTCTAACCACTGCTCTGATGTACCGCCCATACTGAAAAGATGAAAGGACAGAAGTAAAAATTATGATACTGTCAGATTTTTCCTTCTGAGGAACCTAATCAAACAAACATTAACTAAGGAATAAATGATGATAGACAAGAGCTGCTCGATTATGACAAAAATAAAAACAACAACAAATACACATATATATATATACACACATACACATATATATACACACACACACACATACAGGGGTGCACATAAGTGGTCCGCAGGTGCGACCAAAACAAAAAATGCGCTTCGTAAATAAGTTCTGACAGCGCATTTGCGTACCGACATGATTGACAGCTGTTAATGCACAATCACCATTTTAGATCGACAAACTGTATAAGATTTCTGTTCCGAAAAGCATAAATTTAGGCTATCCGCTGCCGTTTTTTCAAAGCACAATGCAAAACTGTGATTTCATTCACTTACGTTCTTCGATCGGCAGCTTCAAACCCGGAAGCGCATATACTTACTTAGCCGGCAACCCGCCAAAATAAACGTTAGCTGATTTTAAGTTCGAAAATGATGAAAATTAAACGGTAAAAAAAAAAAAAAAAAAAAGATTTGCGTACCGACATGATTGACAGCTGTTAATGCACAATCACCATTTTAGATCGACAAACTGTACTGTATAAGATTTCTGTTCCGAAAGCATAAAGCACAATGCAAAACTGTGACATTTCATTCACTTACGTTCTTCGATCGGCAGCTTCAAACCCGGAAGCGCATATACTTACTTAGCCGGCAACCCGCCAAAATAAACGTTAGCTGATTTTAAGTTCGAAAATTATGAAAATTAAACAGTAAAAAAAAAAAAAAAAAAAAAAAAAAAAAAGTTTACTATAAAGTATTTGTATTTAATACTTCCCTTTAATTTTAAAATAGAACAGTATTATCACACTTTATTATTTAGTTTATTAATTTTATTTTAAAAAATAAATAAAAGTGCAATATTATTATCAGTCTTAATTTTTTTATAGTTATATTTAATGGGTAACTGTATATGCAGTGTGAGGACCAAACCAAATCTCCAGGTTCTCATGAGAACCAGGCTGAAAAACGTATGTGCGTATATATATATATATACATACATGTGTATGTATGTATGTATGTATGTATGTATGTAATATATATATATATATATATATATATGCCCCTCCAATATTGAGGTCACAATTATTTGACTCATTGACCTTGGAAACATTATAAATATTAATCTTTTAAACATTTAATTTATTTGAACTTTAAATAGGATTTAACAAACAAAAAAAACTTTGAAAAACAACTAAAATAAAAAATATATATTACATATTTGTATAATGCATATTGGGTAGAAGGACAAAGCACACTGCTGTATAAGAAAGGGGTGTGCTGAATTTATGACAAGATTAAATTATAATTGCAAAATGGAATGCAGCACAAATAATAATGGTTTTATCTTGATAGTCTTGTTTCCATTATTAATTAATGATGATTTTGGCTTCTTAAAATTAAGCTCCTTTAATTGCTCTGGTTTACGGACAATTGAATGTTTTTCAAATTTAATACACGCTTACGTGGTATTGTGGCATAGTTTTGAATCAGATTAAATCACCCTTGGGATGTGTGTCTACCAATCAGTATCAAGAAATAAATATAGTAGATGTATTGTAAAAGAAGTCAAATGATACTTTCGTTTACTTTTCTCCCCACTGATGTCCACTTATGTAGGTAATATTTTTTTCAGCGCCAAAATGTTTCATTGAATAAAAAAAGCTACAGAAGTTCAGAACGAATAGTTTTTGCAGCACAGTTTCCATAAACACTTGTATTTCTGGATTAAAGAGTTAAAGTTGCATTAGGTTTTCATAGTAAATCAAGCTTTTAATTAAATAATAAAAATATGGCTCCTTCAGGGATTAAAGAGTTCCATCACTAAGTTCATAAATACAGTTGCTTCATTCCTGAATGATTCAGCCGTTCGACCGAATCAATTGAATGAATGATTTAGTGATAAAATCAGTGACTTGCCGCCACCTGCTGGCAGATTTAGTTTCATTTTTAGCTATAATTTCAGTCAGGAGTGCTTGTCCTCCTAATTAAAAAATTTAGGAGCACCTTCTGATCAATAACCAAATTCTGATAAAAAAATTTGCCTTCCTACTACAAGGTGACATTTGACTCCTTAAAGTGACAAAGGAGTATTTTCTTTTTACCTTTATAAATGGCATAATTTTCATCTGTCAAATTAAAAAAATTATGTTTATAAATCAGTGACTTGCCGCCACCTGCTGGCAGATTTAGTTTCATTTTTAGCTATAATTTCAGTCAGGAGCGCTTGTCCTCCTAATTTAAAAATTTAGGAGCACCTTCTGATCAATAACCAAATTCTGATAAAAAAATTTGCCTTCCTACTACAAGGTGACATTTGACTCCTTAAAGTGACAAAGGAGTATTTTCTTTTTACCTTTATAAATGGCATCATTTTCATCTGTCAAATTAAAAAAATTGTGTTTATAAGCTTTTTAAAATTTATGTTTAAAACAATATAATAAGTAGAATAAGACAAATAAGTTACCAATCATATGAAATTAGTATTAATAAATTAATTTATACTACAGAGGTGGCACAGAACACAAAAGTGGCTTGTAGGTACATTAAGACATTTAATGAGGCTCAGAGGTGGCATGAGTGCAGTTCAATTTATAAATTAATGTGGAGATTAAAGTTTTAAATATAAAATTTTGAATACAGAAATATTAAATGATTTAAATAACTGAAATTAAACGCTAAAAATGAAACTAAATCCACCAGCAGATGGCAGCAAGTCACTGATTTTTATCACTGAATCATTCATTCAATTGATTTGTTCGAACGGCTGAATCATTCAGGAATCTTTCTTTATGAACTGACGGAAATCCATCGTAGCGATGGAACACTTTAATTCCTGCTCCTTTAATGTTGAATGAGTCTAATATGCTCTGGACTGCAATAGCAGTACCGTATCTTCACACAGAAATGCATTCAAAGTGACTATTACTCACAGTCCAGCGGCCCGCACACAGGTTCTGCACGGCCCCCGCCGCGGCTTCGAGAACTGAGGGGTTCTTGCTCTCTTTCAGGAGAGAAGTGTAGACACGCACCACCTCTGGCTGGAACAGCAACTCATAACCTACAAAACACAATCATTACATTTGATTTCATCTATTATTCAACTACAACACAAGGCAAAACTAAACTACTAGTGTAAGCATTCAAGGCGAAACAAGACTGTCATTGTACCTTTGGCTGGTGTGCTTCTCTTTGGAATGTCAATGGTATCTGAAGTTCCATCATCCTCTTTTTTTCCTGAACAAAGCAGACGGCATGAGCAACAAGTGAAATAGAATGACACACGAAGTGGCACAGAAATCTTATCTGCCGTTTAATGGTAGTGATGTAATTTGTGACAAGTCTGAAGAAAACCTTTTAAGGTTTAAGAAGGGGATTTTCTTTAGACAAAGACTTCTTCAGACACAGTTATTATGACAGAGGCTACATTTACTCCCTGTGGAAAACCCCATGTGTTTTAATGACTGGTGACTTAAAGCCCCAATATACTTCAAGCGAAATCAAAGAATAAACTGATGTGATGCAATTTCAAATAAAATCAGCCCAAAGTCCATTTGGAGTTTGAAACCGCTTGCTAAAGCAAACTTTCCATAATAAAGTTCACCACCACGACTAGTGAACACCTATGAACTACCATTTGACTTCACAGAGGTGACAAAATGCAAGTTTTAAAAGAATCAGACAATTATCTTTTTAATATGTCTGTATGATTAAAGATTAACAGTGAAGGTTTATAAAGAATGGAGTTATCAGAAATGCTGCGTTCTGGCACCCTCTGGTGGTTACTAGTGAAATGTTATAAATCCAGAAAGCATTTTTACAGACCAGTCACACAAAAATCATATCTAAAAGATTTTGCGGACATTTTCCAGTTTTCTAAGAACAGATTTGTAAATTTATGCTAAAATATCTTTGTCCATGATAGTCTAGATGCTTACTAGGCTTTAAAACAGAGCATTAGAGTTTAGTGTCCAGCGACATAATCGGATACTTTTTAATGATTCCACGTCTACTTCCTTCAGATCAATAAAAACCTTATTTGTGTGACTGGTCCCCTTAAAATGCCTTCTTACTTTACCAAAGTAGTGTAGCTCATAAAACGAATGTGAAACGGGATGAAAAACACATTTTCCCCCTAAAACATTACTCGAGTTTCCCACTTCAGATCCATTTTCTGAACTTTGACCTATAACAGTGTTAATAATGGGTTACAGTGAGATGAAAAATTGTGATTCAATTGGTGGCTGACTAAATACTTTTTTGCCCCACTGTATATAGTTCTTTAGTTAATAGGATCAGTCTCCACTCTTTCATCAACGATTTTATATAAATAAATAAAAGTCGAACAGCCCCAAAAAAACCTACAGGCTCTAAATAACCCAGACCCTAATTATAACACTGCATCAATATGCAATAACAAAAATGACCAACAATGCTTTTTCTTCCCCCTTTGCTCTTCCCTAAAACGCTCTACTCATGTGCTTCCCCATCATAAAAAGAGCAGTACACATGAAAGTGCAGCTTTCAAAGCCCGAAAGGTCAAAGTCCAGTTGTTACCTTGTTGTCCACATCTTTACAGTTGATCTGTGACTGGACGATGTACATGAGCGAGTCGACCAGTCCAGAGCACTCCCTCAGCTTCCTCCTGGCCTCGCTCCGCTCCGAGCTCACATTCCTGAGAGCAAAACGTCATGCAACTAATTAGGACACAGCCTGTTTAATGTTTAGTAAAGTTTGGCACGCACAGAAAGTTTTAGCTCCAGGTCATCACCTAAAACATATTAAACAAGTGTATACACAGATGGCATCTGAAAAGCTGAATGGTGAGGGTTAAAAAGACTAAATACCGTTAGCTCTACTTAAATGTAATCACAGTGTAAAACCATTCCTCTGACTGAACTGACCTAACTAACCTAACAGGCGAGTGGGAGAAGTGAGGGACACTCTCAAAGAGAAGCACTCAAGGGAAATAAGTGGATTCAAAGATCACATTTCTCTCTTTTGTCCAAGCTTTGTCCCGAGTCTTTCACAGCCTCAGAGGTTCTTGCTCGCAAACACAATTCAAGAGCATTTCCGTTGCACTTCCCTCCTTTCTTCCACATAAAATGCAGTTTCCTCACACATACACACAAACTTGACAGGAATTCTTTAGCAGCACTGAGCCACACCCCTCCTCCCTTTAACGTCTTTCATTAATCTGAATCATAAAGCTGTCCCTCCTAAATACATCCTAATCCTTTCCTCCGCCCCTCTCTCTGGCTTAACTACTCTTGATTCTCAAGCTGAAAAATGTATCATTTGAATTCGCTCTCAGCCACTTTGGATAAAAGCATCTGCCAAATGCATTAATGTAACGCACCTTAAGCAGCCGGTGGTGTTGGTGAGTGCCGTCTCCCACTCCAAGTGTCTGGGTTTGCAGCTCTCCTCTCCCCCTTCGTTCCCCCTCTCCCAGCCCGAGCGAGGAACCATCACCTCGTCGGACAGGGCATGCAGTGCGTGGTCCACGATCTCCATCTTTACAGAGTCGTGAGACGACAGGTTCCACAGCGTGCCTGAGAGAGAACGAGCAATCAGTTACTACAAGATGCAAGCGACAAACTGTCTTGTCTGACCACTTGTGGTTGAATCACCTGAAACGGGATGTTAACATCAAAATGGAAATTGACAGAACATTTTTTTTTTTTTTTTTTTAAATGTTTTTGACAGAAGTCTCTCATGCTTACCAAAGCTGAATTTATTTGATCAAAACTAGTGAAAAAGCAATATTGTGAAATATTATAGCTTTTAAACAACCTTCTATATTTAATATTTAAAAAAATTATTCCTGTAACTTATTCCAGCCATTACTCCAGTCTTTAGTGTCACATCATCGTTCAGAAATCACTCCAATATGCTGATTTGGTGCTCAAGAAACGGTTCTTATTAGTGTTGTAAACAGCTGTACTGCTTTAGATTTTTGTCAAAACAATGAACTTTTTTTTTTTTACCAGGATTGTATGATAAACAAAGTTCTGAAACAAAATTCTTCCATAACCTTATAGGTAAAGGTGTTTACTGTCACTTTTTGATCAATGTAATGCATCTTGCTTAAAAAAAATAAGAATTTATTTGATCAAAACTAGTGAAAAAGCAATATTGTGAAATATTATAGCTTTTAAACAACCTTCTATATTTAATATTTAAAAAAATTATTCCTGTAACTTATTCCAGCCATTACTCCAGTCTTTAGTGTCACATCATCGTTCAGAAATCACTCCAATATGCTGATTTGGTGCTCAAGAAACGGTTCTTATTAGTGTTGTAAACAGCTGTACTGCTTTAGATTTTTGTCAAAACAATGAACTTTTTTTTTTTACCAGGATTGTATGATAAACAAAGTTCTGAAACAAAATTCTTCCATAACCTTATAGGTAAAGGTGTTTACTGTCACTTTTTGATCAATGTAATGCATCTTGCTTAAAAAAATAAATAAATAAAACATTGGAAATTCGCACAGTCTAAATGCATGTTATTGATCTTACTGTAAATGATCAATCCATGCAGGTTTAGTTTTTTTCTTTTGAATTCGTAATTTTTAACTCAAAAGGTTGGTGAAACAACAGATTTCTAGCAGATGAAGTTCTTACAATTTACTGCATTCAGATCTGCCTCCAGTCAATCAACAACCAATGGATAAGTCACCAATCTACATTTTTCCTTTTTTGATAATCTGCTTCACTCAGATGTACATCTCAATATAGATTTGTTGCTAACACCGTGTCTACACCGGACACGACAGTTGTCGTGTCATGACGAAACAGCTAAAGTCTGTCTACACTGGATGTGACAAAGCGACCATTGAAAAATATTTGCTGCAAATGAGACAGCAGTTTACTGACTGGGATTTGCTGCGCCGCATCCAGTGTAGACAGAATCACTGATTATAATGAGTTCTATAGTATTTTGTCGCGCCGCACCACGGCACTCGCATCCAGTGTAGACAGGGTGGAAGTCTGTTTCATTGTGACTTTAATAGCACAAAACCAGTGTGTACCCGTTATGGTGTCAGTAAGGTCCTGATCTCTCGTCTTCCTCAGTAGCCGCACCAGCGCGGGAATTCCGTCACAGTTCTTGATGGCTATCTTGTTATCTGGATCTCGTCCGTATGAGATGTTCTTGAGTGCTCCGCATGCTGCGTAATGCACCTCCTTCTTTGGGTTATCCAGCATGGACACGAGGGCAGGGATCCCCTTCAGTCGTCTTACTTCTGACTTCACCTGCAAAGACAGAGAGGAAAGACTGAGAGCATGGAATTTGCATAGACACCATGTCATTTGTTGACTTCTCAAAAGCCAGTACTAAGTGATGAAATCACAGGCAATCAGAATAAAAGTTTGGCTTGAGTAAGTTTTTAAATTAATACTATTATTCAGCAAGGATGCACAACAAAAGAGATAGTAACGACATTTATAATGTTACAAAAATACTTAAATAACTTTGTTCATTACAGTGTTAAAAATATTAAGCAGCACAACAATTTTCAACATTTCTGCTCAAGAAACTTTTTACCATCAAATCAGCATATTAGAATGATTTCTGATGGATCATGTGACACTAAAAACTGAAGTAATGACTGATGAAAATCCAACTTCGCTTTATAGGAATAAATTACATTTTAAAATATTTTAAAAGATAACAGTTTTGTAATATTCAACAATAACACTGTTTTTAATTAAAAACCAACTGACCCCAAAATTTTGAACAGTATTGCATTTGACGTTTAATATACTGCTGTGTGTGCTGGGATACCGAGCATATCGTGTACGTTAATACTAACCTTATCGTTCTTAAAAGTGAGGTGTTGCAAGTACGCTGCAGCGTTGCTTTTGACAGGGTCCAGGCGGTAGTTGAGCATAGCGATGACTTCAGGAAGCTCCGGCTGCCTCCATGCTGTGGGGGCGGGGCCTTTACGAAGAGTGCTGTCCAATGATGCCATGCTGCCTCTCTCTCCCTGAGCCAGCGGAGCTCCTCCGCCCCAATAATACATATCACCAGCTCCACTCATATCACCATCCAGTGTGCCCTCATATGACCTACACAAAACAAACAGAAGTTCAAACGGACTGATTTTTTTTACCCCCTTCTTCTGTGAAACGCAAAAGATGATATTTTGAAAAAAAGAAAAGAAAAAACAGACAGACATACAGGTTTGGAACAACATGAGAGTGAGTAAATGCAAGTTTTAGGTGGACTATTCCTTTAATACCTTTCCCAATCAAAATGAATACACTTACCCTGTCCGGCGTGGAGGTGGGGCATGGTGTGCATGTGCCAACCGGGGCATTGTGCTGTAATGCATGGCTGGTCCCATGCCATAATCGGGATCGTCGTATCCCAGGCTTCTCTGATCATCCTCCAGGCCGTATGGCTCTGGTACAAATCGCTGCATGCCAGAGATCTCCATAGCACTACCCATACGTCCTACCTGGGGCTGGGCTGCGTACGGGTCCAACTGCGGCCGGCTGTGGGTGCAATAGGCGGAGTCCAGCGTGCGATAGCCATCCACAGGCCTAAAGAGAACGCAACAGGGGAATTAATTTGTACATCTACAACGCTCGATCTCATACAATGCAAACGCAACAGGCACAGACCTGTAGCGGTCATCCATTCGTGTCCCTCGGTTGAGACTGGCGTAGGCTTCAGAAGGAGGGTAGCTGCGGAAATCATCATAGCCTGGTGGTCCATAGTGGTAGTTACGGGGGACAGTAGCGGTGGGGTAGTCCATGGGGCCACCCGGTGGCCTGTACACACGGTCCACTGGGGTATTACAAACGGGTATCCCAGTGACTGAACCAGTGCCATCAAGGGAAAGTGTGTCGGAGACTGAGGGAATGACTGTTCGTGTGGTAGTCGTCTTTGTGACCTTCTTTACCTGATAAGAGGAAGCGCCATCATTATCTTTCCAAAGACAAGTGGTCATACTTGACAATGTTGTCAGTTCAATTAGATTGCAAACTTACTGTGGTCTCAGTGCGACGTGTGGTGCCATCATTAATGGTTTCAACTGAAATAAATGGCATCGACTCATGGGGGTCCTCCTCCACTGTGACCGACTCAACAAAATGACCAGGGTCCAACATCCTGTACTGTAGCACAGACGCGTAAACAAAGAACAATAGTGAGCATAAGCCAAGAACAGGAAGTGTGTACACTCACACACAAACACCATCTGGAGCATACGCAGGTGGACGTTAATGACAACCCAACAACAAGTTAGTGCAGAAACAGAAGAATTAAGTGTGAAAATATGGGCAGGAGTATCTTTCATGTACACTGACACACAGGGTTCAACAATAGAGAGCAGAGCTGTGTCAATACGCCTTGTTTTTCAAAGCATAAAACAGATGAACAATGAAGCAAGCAAGCATTTGAATTTATACAATGTACATTATACCTTTTTCCTGAATAAAATGTTTACAAAAAACTAAAGTGTTTTTTTTCCTGATACATAAAAATAACTAATCATTATTTAGGCCTATATTTTATAATAATAATGCAACAATCTTAATTCTATTTAATTTCTGTGAAATTATTATTAGTCGTAGTAGTATTCATAATCATATTATTAATCTAGTTGCACAATTGGAACATCTCCATCTAAAGAAAATTATCCATTGCAGACACCATACTAACCTGAGTCCCGTTGATGTATCCCTCACTTAATTTGAGCCGTTCTAACTCTGCATCACCAGTGACACGGCCGTTCTAAAGAGACAGAGAGAAAAATTTCAACAGCCCAAAAAAAAAAAAAGAGATAAGAAGCCGTCAATGTGGCCACTGATCATGTCGGTGAATAATGCTAAACATTCAGAGAGACCACAAATTGTAGCAGGACCATGAGTAAATACCGTAACAAACTAACATTATCTTATGAATGTTCATACAAAGGATGCATAGGGATAAACAACACTTAAAACAAATGACTTAAGTTAATGAGACCATTGCATAAGAGAAACATGACAATGTTGCGGAAATGGATGGATGAATAAATGAATTCCAGGAATGAGAAGGGGGTTGACCGCTACTAGATATTACTACTCATGCTTTTACACGACAATGTCATGCAGCACCATTCACACTTAAAGCACAAATTCTCTACACGCAAACCAGGGGAAGTGGGCTGCTGTACTATTCCCAGTCCACAGAGGGAGCCGTGAAAGTAGATGGTAATCTTAGCTGACAAGCGGGCTTGTGGGAACCTGTCAGCAGGTAGGAACTGAGCCTGCTCAGCATGTTAATATCTACACAACTATGTCAACAGAGAGCAGATACGTATGATGGCGGCATTCCAAGCACTGCTGACCAGCTTATCTTTACATAAATGTCTGTCTCTGCATGTTAAAGTGTGCTAGAGAAAGAATGGAAGAGATTTAAAAAATAAAAAAAGAATAGATTTCCCAAAAATACAAAATAAACCTCTCTATTATTTACTCACCAATTTAAGCCATATGGTACCTTTATGTGATAATCATACCTAGAGTTCAATCTTTCTGTAGTTCTCAGTATCATTCACATTTGTGGTGAATTCAAATGTGGAGCATCAAAACGTTTTGCACATAGTTCGACGTCAATGTCAAATGGTGGTTCTCCGCTTCCATATTTACAAGGTAAACAGATGGAAAGCTTTTCAATTAAATCAAATTAAAACAATTAAAGTGGTGGCTAGAATGTTTGGACTGCATTTATGGTGCTTTATATTAATTTCTATTAAGTCTTTATTAGCAAATATAATCAAGTCCCTATTTATTATTATAAAGTTAATGAACACAAAGTGCAACCTAGACATCCTGCAAAAGATCATGTTCCATGTAAGAAAATAAGCCGCAAGGGTTTGAAACTAGTGTTATTACAGGGATAGTCCACCTATATATGAAAATTGTCATTTACTCTCCCTCGTGTCGATCTAAACCTGTATGAGTTTCTTTCTTATGTTGAACATAAAAATATATTTTGAAGAATGCCGGTAAATGAACAGTTGATGGTCCCCAATGACTTCCATAGTATTTCTTTCACTACTATGGAAGTCAATGGGGACCAACAACTGTTTGGTTCTTTAAAATATCTTCTGTTCAACATAAAAAAAATTAAAAAAAATTTTGGGTGAACTATTCCTTTATCTAAAACTTTTAAAACTATCGTTTTCAGTGATTCAAATAAAGCAGAAATAAATAAAAAATATACATGAGATGAAATCTTAAACTTAAAACTCAAAATTAGAAATGCTCGCACTTAACTAAAATAAGTTGAAGTACTAAATTAACTAAAACTGACAATTGACTGAAGTTATATAGAAATACTTAAATTAAATGACAAGCACATAAATTGCTAAAACAAACTAAAATTAAGATGAAAAAAAGCTAATTCAAAACATTAAAAAAATACTACATTAGTATATAAATAATACTAAAATAACAGTTATTTTACACCAAGAGAGCGTATAAATGACAGAATATAAATTTAGGTGAAGAAGTACTTCCAATTTTGAGATGTTATGTTTGTCTTATGTATCTGAGTGCCAAGAGAAACAAAAGTCGTTTATGCACCTCTCTAGCTATGAATAAAACCTTCAAATCTTTTGAAATCAGACACACACACACACAGAGAGAGTCGACGCCCTCGAAGGAGGGGCCGTTTCTAAGTAGAATCATGCAACCAATCAGAGAAGTCCTCTAGTCTGAAGTAAACTGAGAAAGCTGAGATTTAGACGATACTTAACATGTTCGCATTGAGCAATTTCCACCATAAGACAGAGCTTTCTGAAATCCTCTACACACAAGGGAGACTCATCTTACTAAACCGGTTTGCAATCTCTCTGCTCACAGACATCAGCGGAAGGGGGTTTTGGTGTTGAGAAAGTTTCAGTGATAACGGAGACATTCACCATGAGGACAGTGAGTAAACAACGTGGGGAAAATTCCTCTTCGTTAAAGAATACTCATACCGCTAAGTCAAACAGACAGGTTAATGACACATGTACAGACATGCGTTTGTGTGACATTCACAAAAAAAACTAAAAGAGTGGTTATATAGTAGCAAACTAATTGGGGACATGAGGAAACATGCAAGGGAAGTGTGACTTAAAAACCAAGTATTCTGTGACGCCACTCGCCATAAACCGCAGAATGATGCAGACGGCTGTGCAAAGGGTGGGTGGTGAATGATGACAAGAGGAAAGGATGCAAAAAGTGGGTTCTGGTGACATTGAACACAACGGTGAAGGATGGGTTAATCGCCATGCTCCTTGAGGTGCCTACATTGGTGCAGAGTGATGCGGCATGGGTGATGATGCGAGGAACCCTGCTGCTGCATGATTGGCTGGGAGGGCGTTACCTGCAGGGCGGGGAGGGGGCGGGGTAGGGTACCGGAGGGCCCCACGCTCCTCCTCTCCTCCTCCAGAGCTCGAGTCAGACGCTCGAACTGCATCTCCTGCTCTCGCACGGAGGCCAGGAGAGATGCGGCATTCTCACACTGCTCCATACACACTGAGAGAAAGAGGACAGGGGTTACACTCGCACACATCATGAGACACGTGCCCTGAAACACACACACAAACGCTCCACGCAGACACAAATACATCACGTAAGGCGGCGAGCACCATGTGACCCATGTGGCAAGCTAAATCGAGAACCGGTAACTCGGAGAGACGGAAAAGAAATGTGAGAGATAGAGAGAACATGACAGACAGAAAATAAGAATTGTGAAGAGACAGGTGCTAACAAAGCGCTTCAGACGCAGGCGTGATCACGCTGCCACTGCTGAGTGACAACACACAGAGGAAACCAGGCCGGTTTCCAGCTCGCAGATAGGAGAGTGATTCAGACGCTGTGTGAGAAGAGATCGTGTCGAGGCAGGAACGACGAGTGCAGACACAACAAGGAATGAGCCAAGGTCTGTTCGATTCAAAAGCGGCTCCACGAAACCGTACCGCAGCTAAAGAAACTGTCCGTTCTGCTGTGCTGGCCTTTCTGGAGGCCATTGCACTGTCTGACAACTGGAAACAAACTCAGTGTTTTAATGCTTAGGCCTTTTCTAAATAGCACTGCAGCAGTAGCATGGTACTGTCAGCAATGGGATCATACATTTATAAAGGATTTCAATGTTTATGACCATGATGAATAGTAATATCATTCATAGCACTCTAAGATAAACCAAAGTACTGAGTCATAACATTTAAGATACCATTATACTACAAGTAGCTCCAGAAAATACTATGATGCAGGTCCAAAAAAAAATGTTTAAGTTATACATTTATATACAATGACATTGAATAATATATTTTTTTAAATTAAAAATCCTTAAATATATAAAGAAATATAGATAAAATTAAATAAAACTAACTAAAAAGCAAAACAAATCATGGTATTGTTGCCATTAAGACCCATTTGTAAATATATGGTCACTGCAACTATACCATGGTTTAAAAATATATTATGTTACAGGTCAAATTTTTTTTAATATACGTCACTATCTTATATATATATATATATGTGTGTGTGTGTGTGTGTATAATTTTTTCCAGATATATTAATAAAATGAAATATTACTACCATCAACATTATCAATGGAAGCAAAACAAAACAGTATTATTTTATTACTTTGCAGGCAGTATCTGCTCACTGCATCTTCACCCTGGTTTTAAAATAAGACCATTATTAACTAACAACTACAGTGAACTTTATAAAACAGCTGGAGATGCTACTCTGAAGGCTCAGAGATCTTTTATTATTCGCTGTTAAACATAGAAGCCCCATTGTTAGATGTGGAACTTATCAAGATATAAGTAGCGTTAGAGTAGTGTATAAATAACTGCTTCTGTGAGTTCACGCTGCATCTGCTCATTAGCACCACTGATCTGGGTGGGGTGCAAAAGCTACGTGTGAACAGCAGGTGGGGAAAAAACTCTGGAGCGCTGATCTGAGCACTGATATCAGCACAGTGATGTGCTCTGAAACATGTCATATATGGGAAGCTGAATCAATTTGATTTACAGATTGAGAGAAGTTTAAAAGGTTCTTTGGAAGAACTACAAAGAGGGCATGGCAGCTTTACACAATCTATATTAGCTTACAATAAAGGGAAGATAGGGAACCTAAGAACCATTTCTGATCATTTCCAACTGAACTTCCCAATTATTATTATTTTTTTTAAAGATTATTACGGTTAAGCCAAAGTGAAAGAGAAACAAGCCTTTACCTGTACCTGCCCTTGTTCGGGAATCATTACTACACAATTTCAAACGATAACCAAAACATAACTCATGCACACATCAATGGGCCAAGCGTAAAAACAAAATTCCAAACCTGTGACAAAACAAGCGATAAATAAAACCGGATAATCAAATTCCCCCAGAAATCACCTGCATGCAAGTGCAACCACATTACTATGTTTACAGGAATAATTCATTCCAAAACAACAACAAAGTAGTCAACATATACTCACTCATTCTCATGCCATAACTACTGCACCATGACAAATCCGTAAGCGTTATCTGGTAGTAGGCAACTAATATGAGCTTTTTAATAGCCAATGCTGATATCTTAGTGTAAAAGAATAATAAGCTTATATTGTCCGCCCTGCTCTCCATTTAATAATTTATTTGTAAATGTTTTGTAATAAATGCATAATTTTTGTAATAATGCATAATTTCTGCAATTAAAAGATTTTTTCACGTTTAGTAAATATTCGAAAAAATTTAAAGGATCAATATGAAAAATAATTTGAACTTGATCAAATAAATCTGTAAAATAATCAGATTTTTACTTTATTTAACCCTATCACAATATTACCCAATATTTTTTGTTAAATTATGAATAAAATTAAATGTAACCAGCAGTGCACGCAGTAATCTTATCTGATAAATGTGGAAATTATATTTTCCAAAAATAAATAAAAATAATAAAACACAGGTAACACTTATTTATTATCTAGTACAAGTGAATATGACATGGATATATAACATGGATAAGCTGAAATCAAGGATTTAAAGTTGCTTATTCGAGTCAAATCTCGTGTCTGTATCCAACTCACACGGTTTGCATCCTTCACGTCTCATAAAAAAAAGAAAGGTCAACTAAGCTTGAATATGTGAAAGCACAAATGAAAGAAAAGCTTTGACTAATGGAAAGATTACCCATGAATAATTAACTTAAGTTTCAGCCTAAAATTTATGGCTTGAAAAGACTTCGGAACAACATGCGGTTAAATAAATATTGACAGTTTTAATGGCTGCATATAAAACTGAACTATAATGCATGACTCATATGGACCATTTTAAGGTACTTTCTGAGTTGTTTTAGGAACTTGATAGCTTTTGATCACTTTATGCTTTGTTGGATGGAAAAGAACAGCATGAACATTCTTCAAAATCTCTTATGGTGTGTTGCACAAGAACAAAATCACCGAATTTATATTTTTAGGTGAAAAATTTATTTAAAATAAATATCACAAGACTCCTAACAGCTAGTCAAAGCACTCCAAAACTGGTCTTTAACTGACTACAGAATCTAAGACCTAATATAATCAATCTGGGCTTTGAATCTTTATCTACAGCGCTGCAGGGATCGCAACTTCCCAACATCTGCAACAACGCCACAGCATAAATAAAGCACAAACTCAATTGAGATTTCTAGACATCCATAAAACTACCGTGCATGTCAGAAACTATTTTAAAGAGACCACAAATGCACAATGATCCAAGAGCAAAAAAGAATCCCGAAAAACAAACAGCGGCTTTCCTGAGAGCAGGACTGAAATGGAAGCAAGCAGGAGTCCACGCCAAAATGTACAAAACAGCAGCATAGGAAAAGCTCCGCCCTCCCCCCAAATGCTGTATGATTCAAGAAGCTAACTCATCCTGCAACCAGCGCACAACCGCTCTCTCTCTCGTGCCACACAACGGAGTGAGCGCGTGTTTGTGCGAGACAGAGAGAGAGGAAATATTTGCAGCTGTCTGCCTAGTGGTTAACTGAACAATAGGAAATGAGTGTCCACTACAGAGAATCAGTCGAGAGAGGGACAGCCGGGGGGGGGGGGGGTAATATGCATAT